AGCGACCGAAATACCATCTGTACTGTTACAGCCCAATATAAGTTTTTGATTTTCAGCAACCGGGCTTTGTGACGCGGTTAACCGCATAGTGCGTGTGACCACAATTTGATAATATATCTATAATGTATAACAGTGGAAGTTACTATTTTTATTATCATAGATCGATAATTCGAACATTGATCGTCAATTGATTCACTAGTAGTCGAACTTGATAGTTCAATGATTTGAATGCGTCGTCCCAAAGTAACGACAGTGATAAATTATATTGGCGAACTAATAACTGGTCTTTTTTTATTGCTTCGATGTGTGAACGAGCTCACAGCCCACCTGGTGTTAAGTGGTTATTGGAGCCCATAGACATCTACAACGTAAATGCGCCACCCACCTCGAGATAAGATCTAAGGTCTCAAGTATAGTTACAAAGGCTGCCCCACCCATCAAACCGAAACGCATTATTGCTTCACGGCAGAAATAGGCAGGATAGTGGTACGTACCTGTGCGGACTCACAAGAGGTCCTGTCACCATTAAAAATGGTCTTAAATGGCCTCTCCTTTTTATTAATTGGAAAAGTTAATTCTTACCACCCAAGCTCTTTATGGGAGTCGACAAGCTCCTTAAAATGTTGGGCGATCTCAAAGAACAACAAGACAATACCGGGGGTACAATAACGGTATTAAAACACAAGACAGGGGAAAGAGATTACGCTCGTGAAACAAAAGAAAAAGAAGCCACTCCAGCACTTAAAACACAATAGTGAATTCCTTTTTTTTATGATTGAAGGATTACTGGTGGCCCGGTGGCCTTTCCAGTTTCACCAGGATAGGTGGGCGAGCCAAGGCTCAGCCAGGAGGGGTGGGATTTGCTAACAGCTACCCGAGCGCCTCCGAAGGAGACCTAACAGCTCAAGAGCAGCTGCTTCGCGAATGAATCTACTACCGGATCGGAATCGCGACCCGCTGAGAAGATCCGGCGAGAAACTCAGCGAGCTGATTCATGGGTTAGGTTGCACGGCGAACTCTTTGTCGAGTTCGACNACTACCGGATCGGAATCGCGACCCGCTGAGAAGATCCGGCGAGAAACTCAGCGAGCTGATTCATGGGTTAGGTTGCACGGCGAACTCTTTGTCGAGTTCGACGAGTACGGTTACCGGGGTCCCTAAGCCTGCTCCTAGTGTTAGAGCTGAAGGCGTCTAATGCAAAGGTTATTGGATCTGATGGATCCGTAAGGACGTGTCTAGGGCGATAGTGAATTCCATTGCCCGCACGAACGTATTAGTTTACAAGGAGCTAATAGTTACCACTTACTGCGATATACATACTGAGATTCCGTCTCACGCTTGCAAAGACATTACGATTAAACAAACCAGTAGTCGGATTCGATTTAAAGTTACAGAGATGGAGCATCAGTTCTGACACTCCTGATAAATTTGAATTTCAACTTCAGCCGGAATCACAAACTATTAATTAATTCATAACGACGCTCGAAAGGCAAACGTGACTAAGCGACAATGCGTGAACTTTACAGTAGACTAATTTAAAGTTGAAATAAAAGAAAAAAATTAATATTTTAACGAATCTAGCTGTAGTAGAATCTAGAGAGAGAGAGAGAGTATTCTTTATTGTACATCAAAAAACAAATAAACAGTGCGATACATTAAGCACAAAAAAGTACAATTGGCGGTCTTATCGCTAAGAGCGATCTCTTCCAGACAACCATCAGGTGGACAAGAATCATTTGGAAACGAACTACGCGCGGTGTACCATTCCAGTGAAATACATATACATATCTCCGTAAATATACATATAATTAATACAAAGTAATATAATAATAATTATTAAAAATAAAAAAATAATTTTGCTTCTTTACACATAAATAAGAATAAGCAATTTACATATAAAAGATACTTAATAAAAAGATCTAGCTAGTGGCTGTAGGATTGAAATGATTTTAATAGATCTAGAAATATATATTTTTTGCGCATCGAATATAGTTATTGCCCATCATTTATATACAAAGCAGTTATTGTCGCTTAGTCACGTTTGCCTTTCAAGCGTCGATAAGATTTCAGACCTCTGTATCTTAAAATCTGATCCACTCCAAATATAATTGAAGTCGCGCTTCGACATCAGAACTTGCGTCTAAAATTGATTTAGAATTCCTGGTATTGGAGGAACAATAGCATTCCCGGTTCCGTTTAAATTCAATTTGTATTTCCTTTTAGAGAAATTGAAAAACCTAATTAACTACTGAAGATCATATTTACATCACAATAATTCCATAAAAAAGCAAAATTAAAGGAACTTGATACAATACGTGCAATTATGGCTCGGTCAACTTGAAATGTAAAAAAGAAAACGCGATTGTATTTTTTTTAAATTTTTTTTTTTATTACTTATATGGGTGGACGAGCTCATAGCCCACCTGGTGTTAAGTGGCTACTGGAGCCCATAGACATCTACAACATAAGTGCGCCACCTACCTTGAGACATAAGTTCTAAGGCCTCAAGTATAGTTTCAACGGCTGCCCCACCCTTCAAACCGAAACGCATCACTGCTTCACGGCCGAAATAGGCAGAGTGGTGGTACCCACACGCGCGGACCCACAAGAGGTCCTACCACCAGTAAAGATTCTAGAAGTTCTAGATGGGAACGTAAATAAATATCATAAAAGAGTAGATTCCAAAGCAATGGTACATACTTCATGGAACTGCGTCATAAGCGATAAAGGGCGTAGACTCGAGACATTGCATTGACTTAATTAAGATTATTTTCAACCTCTGGTTTTACTACAAATTAATAGATATCACTCTTGCCGCGTAATTAATTAATAGAATAATTAATATTATTAATATTACGTGTATTAAATTAGTTGTCCAATCTCACACACAACACAATACGAATGATGTGCAGTCGAAGTATCCACTCGATATAACCGTGGGACTGTATCTACCGGCGCGGTAATAATTACGCAACATTTTCCGTGATTTCGATTTTATTCTACGATGTTATTATATGATGTATATTGAAATTTAATAAAAATATATATGTTATTAGGAATTAAGTGTCGTTCCAGGAGAATTCCAATTATTGCAGGAGCTGCTTTAAAAAAAAATCATCAATTAAAAAAAAAACCGTTTAGATTGGTGAACGAGCGCACAGCTCACCTGGTGTTAAGTGATTTCCGGAGCCCCTAAACATTACAACCATCCTTCAAAGCACACAAAATCAATTTAAGAATGCTATCAAAAAAAGCAGCTATTATTAACTCCCTAACCATTGAAATAGAATACATAATTAATTTTATTTCATTTATGATATAGCATCTTATAATAAAATGGTTCTTTGTTCAAATGCAACACGTAAAAGTTTCTGTTCCTATTTAGGTCGCACAGGGCTGTGAGAAATATGTAATTAGTTAACACGTTGCTGAACCTGTTTCTATATTATTAGATGTATTATTGGAAAACTCTGTATAGATATTTCGCTATGAAGCCTTGAAGAATACTATAGGTATTTCTTCAAAAGTAGGTCGGATGCTTTAGAAATACTTTAATTAACTCGTGAAAAGCTGACAGCCCATATGTCTCAGTAAAAGAAAAGTAAATAAACAGTTGATAAAATGCGATTACGAATGTTTTATGTGTATTTTAATAGAGTCAATTAGAACACAAATTTCCGGGCTTATCGAATGCTAAATTAAATTTAGGTTTGAATGATAAAAGAGATGTTCAAATATTTTACTGAAAACGCTTACAATTTATTCTGGACTATAACATATTTACGTATAAAGCTGTATAGAACATGAAAATAATCATGTACGAAGACCGGCTACGGTATTGTTACGTCTCCTCGTATTTCAAAAACAATCATATCGTCCAAGTATAAATAAAAACAAAATCCCTTCTCTTCTACTTTTCAATTTAAGTATTATTAGTTTATTTAGTAGGCATTGGCGAGTATTAATGTTTTAAATAATTCAAAAATAATTTTTTTTTAGAGCTCAATAGTATAACAAAATTAAAAAATTCGAACTAAAATTACTAAAAAAAATTTTTATTCCCGTTATCTTAGCTGTGGTGTTAAGCAAAAGCAATAGGGATATCATAGCGCCATCGACCCTTGATATTTGATACGTGGACAAAATTTCAAGCTAATCCTGATCGCACGTCCTAAAATTTGTAAAAATTGCGTACAGTACAAGGCAATCTAATAAAATTTGTTTAATTTTTTGATTATTATTTTTTGCAATTCGCAATTTATAGCTTAATTTTATATATTTTTATAAAACTCGGGCTTGATTCTTATTCATTAATTAATTGCCATGTGTATAATGTACAATTTCGTTAAAGGCGGCATATAGAATTATGTTCGGGATTGCTTGATGTATTTATTATCACATACATTATCACAACGGTAGGCAGCGGCTTGGCTCTGCCCCTGGCATTGCTGAAGTGCATGGGCGACGGTAACCACTTGCCATCAGGTGGGCCTTATGCTCGTCTGCCTACAAGGGCATAAAAAAAAACATACACATATCATCACAATCTTACTGTCTATGTGTAATTGCGCTCACAGAAATCATAACGTAATTGTAGTTACGAGCTTTGATCTATAAAATTGAGGCTATGAAGTATTATAATAACGATTAGCCTACCTTTCAAATCGATAATCGAATAAGGTACATAAATATTTGGGTATTCATATAATTGTGAATCAAACTTTCCCGCTCTGCTAGGTTCTCAGCGCACTCGACAATAAGAATCAGAGTCTTTATAGACGTAATTTTGTACAGAAATCGGGCTGATCTCGACTTAATATTACTTCGTTATAGAGTTCATAATCATCTGGTATTAAAACGTGAAATATTTAGCAGTTTAATTAGTTCATAATTGATTCGTTCTTCTGAGTGTTGTCGCAATTAAAGAAAACATATGGATCATATGCTCGGTGTGCTCTGCTAACATTGCTTACTACTAAGGTTCTTTTTTTTTTAAACAGGGGGATTGTCGGATGGCGAGGCGAGCCGAGGTCCTGTCAGAGGACGCCCATCTCGACGCGACGACCCGCGAAGACACACCCTCGCGGGGAACCACTTATATGTGCACCCACATCACCCTGCACAGATCAACTCGCTCGAGATGGAGGTAAGAGTTTTTAATTAATAATTTTCTTTACCTTTATTTTTTTATTTTTTTTATTGCTTAATTGGGTGGACGAGCTCACAGCCCACCTGGTTTTAAGTGGTTACTGGAGCTCATAGACATTTACAACGTAAATGCGCCACCCACCTTGAGACATAAGTTCTAAGGTCTCAAGTTTAGTTACAACAGCTACCCCACCCTTCAAACCGAAACGCATTACTACTTCACGGCAGAAATAGGTGGGGTGGTGGTACCTACCCGTGCGGACTCACAAGAGGTCCTACCTCCAGTAAATACGCAAATTATAATTTTGCGGGTTTGATTTTTATCACACGATGTTATTCCTTCACCGTGGAAGTCAATCGTGAACATTGGTTAAGTACCTATTTCATTAGAAAAATTGGTACATCGCTACATACGAATGCTACGGACGTCTTATCCTTTAGGCCACGACGCCTTCAAATATCCGCCGCCTTATCTATAAATCGTTTTTGTTTTTTATTGAAATAGGCGTGTGAACGACTGCTCATTTGGGGTTAAGAGGTTTCCTAGGCTCTAAAAATAGCGTGATTATACCTGGTTATAACCTCATTTGCTCTTAGTAAAATAATAAAGAAATATACTATACTATTGCCAAATTCGGTTGATGTGATTGAACATTTAATTGAATAGGCACGGACATAGGAGTTTGTGGCGTAAAACGATAAAGGGAACATCTTTATAATTGTTATCTTTTTATTTATTTTTTATTGCCGTATAGGCAGACGAGCATACGGCTCACCTGATGGTGAATGGTTACCGTCGCTCATGGATGTCAGCAATGCCAGGGGCAGAGCCAAGCCGCTGCCTACCGTTTAATACTCTCCACAAGCCTTGTTTGAAGACGGACATGTCATAGCGCTCGGGAAACACCGTGGAGGGGAGCTCATTCCATAGCCGGATGTTGTAAACAAACTCATTTGACTTCTAATGCGAGTCGCATTGACCGTAATTGTTGGAAATTCGATTTTCAGAGTGAGAGAGAGAGCTAACATGAATTGTAAATGATATTCCAATAGGGTATTCAACAGCATACGATTTCGTCTTCTGTATACTGCTTTAGTGACTTATGACAAACATTGTGAATAATATAACGTTACATCTGAAAACTGATTTGTTAAAGTATTAAATACAGTACTACCTTGCGATTTAAATTAAAATTTCATTTCTTTATGATTATTTTTTAATATCGGGCAGACGTCTTTTATATTGGGATCATCAAATGGTGGCCCACATTCGATGTCTGGACCGTCAAGTATTTTTCCGAATCAATTGAATTATGTTAGTAATAATGTAATACAAGAATCTAATGTGATTAACATATATTAATTAAAAAATATATATTAAACTTGTAAAAGAATTAATATCAATAATTCTATTGAATTCTCGGGCAAATTATTATTAGATACACACTTAATTACAATGTATGAGTTACATACACGGATTATGGTATGGTTAGTACGAATTTTTTTATTTTTTATTGCTTGGATGGGTGGACGAGCTCACAGCCCACCTGGTGTTAAGTGGTTACTGGAGCCCATAGACATCTACAACGTAAATGCGCCACCCACCTTGAGATTTAAGTTCTAAGGTCTCAAGTATAGTTACAACGGCTGCCCTACCCTTCAAACCGAAACGCATTACTGCTTCACGGCAGAAATAGGCAGGGTGGTGGTACCCATCCGCGCTGACTCACAAGAGGTCCTACCACCAGTAAATGTAGGTATTATATTATTATTCTACTAGTACTTGTAAATAATTAACGATTATAGCAATACTATCTAACTTAGTTGGACAATTGTGTAATAAATATAATTATAATAAATAATTCTAAAGAAGTCGATCGTTGAAAAATAAAACACACACACACACACATACAGAAGAGTTTTATTAACATCAAAGGAGTCGGACCAACTCCTTAAATAGTACCCTCATATTAACTGGCGAGTACTATTAAGTGGTTACACTCTTAGTTTATTGTAATAAATTTAATAAGTTTTCGGATGCTACGTAGAAACATAACTGTGTCGAGATTACAAAATTGCGGAACATTTAAGCCACCTGTCGGCTCCTGGAACATGTATGGATAATACTTAAGTAACTAAAACGTGTACTGTTGAGATTGCAGTAACGGAAATTACTTGCAAAATTCTACATTATAATCATCAGGGAATGAAGGCTTTTAGATTTTGAATGACATTTCCAATTTATATCCTTTATTGGCGCGGGTTTCACGAGGCCAATCAATAATCCCATACAACGGTAATGGAAACTTAATTACTTTATGAATATCGGCATTATAATTTATCGTTCGCGGTTATCTGAATCGACAGCGTTTCGGATTTCTGGTCGATTGTCATGAACACGGATTACATTTTTCGTTTGTAAATACGAAAGTAAACGCCTGTTTCATTTACATGATGTTTCAATGAATTACGTAAATTTAAACTGGATTATTTTAATTTTACAGTTCAGAACTGTATAATTTTAAGGGATTATACTGGAGTTTGGCGGTTGCCACATCCGTAAACCTATTCGGGTCGCTACGAACCGACTGAACATTTTAATCATGAAGTAAACACACTTTAGCAAGAGTTATAGCCGCTATCCGAATAAGAAGTGGTTGAACGGCGCTGACTATCGTCTTATCTATGATAATTCACTGACGTGAAGCAAGCCATGAACTCAACCAGCTAGACCAAAAACAAATGCGAAACGAAAAATTATCCCTTAGTTCAACTTAAATTAGTTTATGTGAAATGCATATTTGACTCTCAGGGGTGTCACACGTGACTTTTAATAATAATTTCAATAATAATTTAATAATTTAAAATGCGTAGTTCACGAAAACTTCACACCTAACAACCGGTTCGAATACTGTACAAATGAGTCGTCTATTATCAAAGGTGGCAATCTGTGCATTTCGACAAAAAAATGTTATTGATATGTCAATACAGATTGATTTGATTATAATCGTCTCCTTCAAAGAATACGGTTCAAAACCTGCATTAAATAAAGTATTAACTTAACCTGTTATTTATCTAAGATGTCGTTCAGAAGAGTTTTGTGACTGCCAATGGAATACAAAGTCAATAATTCGTTTTTCTGATTTACCAATAATTGTCCAAAAGTCACATTGCCGGCTTTGATAATAGTCGACTCAAATAATAAACGCAATTGTCTGGACGGTGTGTTTTATGTCCAGAATAGCATCTCTCCTTCCCTATACGCGTTGTAAAAGGCGACTAATAAACTCAGCGGAGAATGGATGGCAGCGTACTCTAAGCGTACTACGATCGTGGATTTTTCTGATGAAAGCCCGCATGGGTTGGTCTTTCCACCCTATTTACCTATCCACAGTAAAGCAGTGAGGCGTTAAAGTTTGGAAAAAAAATCGACCTCAAGCCATGAGGTGGACGGTAGCATTGACGTTGTAATTGATTGTGTGTGTAATTAAAACTAATCTGGCAACCACTTCACGCCAATTAAAGGCTGAGAGATCGTTCAATAAAACCTATGCATAAAATGTTATGTAGTTATTTTTATAACCACATAAACATACACTACGTCTTTAAAGTCACTCCTCAAGCACTGCAAAAGCAGAGCAGTAATTAAAAATGGATCTCTAAAGAAGCGACTTCGCAACTGTGAAAGCTCTAATTTAAAACCTTTTTTGATGTAAAGAAAAGGCTCATCTAAAAGTTTTGTAAAAGCTACTTGATGACTAGATGTGATAGGGATACCTCGAGATCATTCATTCGGCGGCCGTCAAAACATTTATACCGTTGATCGTTTTCCTTTCATTGTATTTTCAAAATCTAACAATTTAAAAAAAAATACTTAAGGTCTTAATTTTTAAAGTACAACTACTGTCTCATCCTTCGAACCGAAACGCATTACTGCTTCACGGCAGAAATAGGCAGGACGGTGGTACCTACCCGTGGGGACTCACAAGACCTTGAGCAAAATTAGGTCGCTGAGTAATTGTAGTGACATTTTGTGCCCGTTCGTTTTAAATGACAATGTTATGTAATTTACTAGCGAGCCTGACAGACGTTGTCCTGTACGCACGTCTTAAATCGTAAAATTTTACATTTTTATTTATAATATAATAATAAAAAAATGTAGAGCACCGAATTATGAATCTAAATCAAACTCAAAGCGACACGTACACAAAAAATCATCAAAATCGGTACAGCCGCTCAGGAGGAGTTCAGTAACATGCACATGGACAAAATATCTTTTTTTTAAATGTAGATTTATTGAAGTCTTCCCCTGGTGGTTTTACCGCTCCATCTAAAAAGAATTTATAATTAATGTTGGCTTTTGATCATGTATTGACTTTTTGTGATATGTTCTTTCGACATCGAGCTTTCTCTTTGTCATAATCGTGTCCAGCATCGGTCGCGGTCAACTCAATCTTTTTCTATTTCATTCAAACATGCACTACACCGAGTGATATGAACAAAGCAGCGTATATTTCCTGAACTATTATTTTTTCTCCAACTCTGTGAATATTTTTTCTGGAATATTTTTGGTTTTCTACTAGTACTGGCTGGTTCTATCATATGGAACAGTGGGCTTATGGAAGAAATTAAAAAATAGAACTAATATTTTGCTGAAATGAAAAGCGTAGGAGAATCATGTGGATTTTTTATTTTCTCTACTCTGGCAAATTCGTCATTATCATTGTACAGAAACAAAACTTTAGCGCGTGTTCTTTAAGGAACTTAATGATGATGCTGAAACAATACTTTCTTAAGCTTCAAAGCTTTATCCACACAGATAGAATTCATATAGGCAATTTCTTTTAATCTTCTTCCAAATGTTTTTATTTATTTTTAATTGCAAATAACTTTTACAATTCATGTCAGTATTTCTTAACTCAGAAAAGATTAGGTATGTCTCAAATTTATGAAATAACACTAAAGCACGTTAATTCTTCTTCAATAATGTAATATAAA